TCTTTTTCTTTATAATTTATTTGATTTCCTTCATAGAGTGAAAACATGAAAATTGTTGATTGTCACAAATTTAACAAGAGGTATATTATCACTTGGATTTGCTAATAAATGTCTTTTTTTTAAATAATACAGTCTAAAAACACATTATTATTAAATTTATTTTACTTTAATATCCGATGACATGATACAAAAAATAACTAAGAATGACTTCATGCATCATTCAACATCATTCGGAAATTAATATCTAATCGAATTTGTCTGCTTCCTTGAGCTTCCTTGATTTATCTTGCAGATAATAAAACCCCCAAAATATACTTTTTCTCCCTCTCATATCTGATGCATTCGAATATGAGGAGTTCGAGTTTTTTTTTAGTTCATCAAGGTATAGCCTGAAAAGAACGTATTGAATAAACGGCACATGAAAATTGACATCATTATTGTTATTAATTTATTTTTATTTAAGAAAAATTAGTAGATCTGATATTATAATAAAAAATGGCAACTGTGCGTGCATCATTATGACACAAATCTTAATAAAAGAAAATGATCGAGAAAGAAAAAAGAGAATACTAACATATTTGTAAAGAAGTTGAAGTAGGATGAGAAAAATTTTATTTCGCTTTGCATGCTTTATGGAATAACAAAATATGTAAGAAAATCTGACGGGAAATCTTAGTTCCTTTGAATTCTGATAATATTTTTAACCGTAATTAGAGTCAATCTTGACTCATATGACGCAAATCATGCTATAATTTGTTGCTAATTCAAATCAATAATATTTAGTAAAGACTAATGACGAAAAAAAATTAGGGAATCATCATACACATAAATAAACTAGAAACATTTTTAACAATTCTTTGTCGCTCTTGAAAATCCGATATACAAAGATATTCATTTAAAAAAAACCAATCATCTGATCACTCAGAGTTTTAATTTGGATATTATTTAATATCAGCCAAAGATTTCTCTACTTTAATTGCTTTCATTTTTCGCGCTTGATCTATAAAGTTGTTCTTTTGAACCTACTTTTAAACTAGAAGTTACTTACAGAAATACTTAATCTCGATTAGTAATTTTCTGCTTTGATGCTTCTATAGATGAGAAGGTATAAATTACCTTATCACCTATATAAATTAAAACTTATTCTTTTAATTAAATAGGAACGGATACACAAGAATAATAACTGTACCAAAGATTTAATATTTATTATTCGATGCATAAAAAATGTTGATTTCTTCTTTTCAAATGGTTCAGCGAACTTTAAAATATTAATTCTGACAAATTAAATGTCAAGATACTTTAATAATTTTTCTTTTGATATGTTATAGAAAACCTGTCAGAATTGGTCACTTATTTTTTTTAAACATCTATTTATTCAAGTTTCTTTTACATTAGAATGAAATGATACATGTTAGTTTAAAATACTATTTTAGAAAATTTATAATTTTTACATTTATGCTTGTAAAATATGACTTTGATTAATAAGTTCTTTAAAATATAATAAATTAAAATAGTTATGATATCCATTTGTAATATCTAGTCCTAGGTTTTATATATGTATATATTTAAAAGTTTATTTAGTTAGTACAAGAAATCAAGTAAGAAGACTTTCCGACGAACATTTTTTATTTGTATATATTTAAAGCATTTTGATGATTTATCCGAACATTATCGTTTGTGATTTGATAGACCCCTACGGATAATAATATCTGATTGATTTTCTTGATGGAAAACAAGAAGGACAAACGAACAAACATTGGATGACTATCGACGTCAATATGTCAACATGCATATACAACGTTCGGAATTCGGAACAACTATAGATATCTTGCACTCTCGCTTTTTTTCTTTCTTTTTCTCTCTCTCGCTCTTGTATTTTCTGCCTTCGAGTGCTGATATTTGTACAGGTGCCACATGATCCGGTAAGGAATTGCATATAGCAAAACAAGTTAATATTTAGCGTGGTTAGTTGGTGACAAAGACAATATAAACAATAGTCAGGAAGACAGATAACAGCAGGAGGTTTTACTGTATTTATGTTGCTGTTACAGCTAACGATGACAATATTCTAGTGCGATGAAGATAAATGTGTAGCATACAGATAGAAATAGGTAAGCAGATAAATTAAATAGATTCTATTTAATAGATTGAAAATTCATTGAAATATTAAAATAAAGTTTCTTATCGATTAAGATACTATTTAATCGATCAGTCTATTCATTCATTCAGTTTTTTAATATATGCTAAAGAGAAGAATGAAAAAAAGAATAGATAAGAAAATCTTCCGTTTATTACTGCCATCGGCATTCTTAAAGATGATTGTGATGAGTAAAAGTCAGTTACTACCGATTTTTGTTTTTCCTTCCATCGTCTGTCTTCTTAACGCGTTTTCCTGGGTGTATTTTTTCTTGAAAAAAAAATAAGAGAAAAAAAAGTCAAATACTGAGAAAATGTTGGAAAAAAGAAAGAAAAACTCTTGTTCATTTCCTTTCTGCTTGAATACATGTAAACAAATTGTGTACCAAACAAGAAAAAAGAAGAACAAGTAAGAAAGAAGAGAAGAAAGCGAAAAATAATGATAAATCAACACAAATAAGATCAACAACGAGGTAAGAGCGAGTCTATATGAATACTTCTAAAAGAAAAAGAATTAAATTTGATCGATTCAGAGTTCATTCACGAATACTTTCAAGTATTATTAAAAAATTGTTTAATTAATTTTACAAACTATTTTGTATATGCAAAACTAAGACCATGATGCTCCTTTTTTTTCTTTTTTTTAAGCAAGATATTAATACATTACACATAAAAATAGAAATGAAACGAAGCCCAGTTGTTTTTTTTATTAAAGACAATCGAATTCAATGAGGATTAATACTGATAGGCATATTACCGATAAGATATTCTTGCATAAATATATATGTCTCGAAAAAAAACAGAGACGAAAAAAAAAGTAAGCTTCATACAGAGGTATTCATTTATCTCATGTAACATGTATTCTTAAAACAGTCTTGAATACGTATTTAGTTAATTATATAGATGCAAATCATGATCAAGTCAATTAATAATTCTAAATTTGTTCATCATTTTTTGTGCTTTATTAATAAATAAATACAGTATTTTTATTTTGATCGATGATCTTTTGTATTCAATAGATATTCATCAAGCTCCTATTGAATTGTATCACCAGCAAAACAAAACAAAAACAAGCACAAGAACAACAAGGTAATTGTTAATGTTACATATGTGTATAGTATAGGTTTTTTCACATGAAATTTAATATCCGGAGAGAATATTATAATTATCAATAGTCGACTTTCGATTTTCGATGGTATCTTTTTAATTGTTCGTTCTTTCTTGACGTCGATTCTCATTCTTTTTTTATTCATGTTTTGGTTGCTAATTTACTCTTGAACTAAGCTTTTTCTTACTTATATGCTTGTTGTTTTATTCATAACATTCTAGCATCACTCGATGGTTCTCTTTCATTTCTTATCAAAAGCAAACAGGCGCAAATAGAAACTTTATGATATAGAGATATAAAATAGACAACTTGTCAATAACAATTGAATACAAATAATTTAATTAGATTAATTTATTGTAAAATTTATTTTTTAAAGAATATACAATCGATTGATATCATTATTATGATTATAGTTATTGTGAACAACTGAAATTTTCATATGTAAATACATATTTTTCATCACGACACCAATTCTCATTTACAATTCATAAAGTAGTGTTGGTAAGTGTCATAAAGAGAACACTTAACACATGAATGACAGCTTGCTCAACTTTTATAAATATATTTATATAGAATAAAGTTTAATAATCACATAGATAGACATATGTAAAAAAAAATTAATACAAACTGAAAATAGAATCTTTCTATTGTCGTGATTTAATTGAATATGTTTCTGGATACGAGCATGAGTTTCAATTATAAATTATTTTGTGATCAAATCTAGATTAATTTTTTTTTACTATTATGTCTGAAATTGAATCTCGGCATCATTCTGGTGCTTCAATTGGTTACATTAGTTGACACTGGGATTTAGCCTGACCTGTATATTCAATGATAACAAGAGCCAATGTCTGACTTTCTTTCTCTCTACAGTACTATTGTAATCTGATCAATAGTTTGTTAAGATGCATGCGGGAAAAAAAAGAAGAAGAAAAGAAAGAGGAAACAACAAATTTTCTCTATCTCTTCCCAAATAGATGCAAACTAAAAGCCTTTTCCTGAACATACTTTGGATCCAATTGAGAACAAACGATCAATCATGTTAACAGACACGTTTCATACTTGAACTAATACTATGTAAAAATGTTTTTCTTTTCTTTTTCTTTTGAAATCAAGCAGATTCTTATAATATGTCTTTTGATTCTAGAGGCAGTCAAGTATCATATTCTGACAAAAGAATAAGTGCAATATTCATTTTTATCCATCTATATAGATAGACCTGATCATAATCTTTTCTTTTTATGATTAAAACTATTCAAACAATTTGAAGTAACCTAAATATTCAATAATATGAAAAGATTAATTTAGTAATTTCAAGTGTTTTTTTACCACTTTTATAGATTGTTAAAAACACACTTCATGACTACCTTGATTCAAATATAGATAAGTGCATTGAATGTTTTGCTTTGTGTCATGATATAACATGGAAATTAGTGCATTGCACTATACTTGATTATTCTTTGTTTGTGACACACATAGAAACAATTTTTTCTTAATGAAATTTTCTTTTCTTTTCTTTTATTTGACGATCCCTTTTACTACTATACTTATATCAGTTGTGTTCGATTTATGAGACATCTGTTTGCTGACTGAGTTTGCATGTCTCTCAGCTGATGATGGTATTAGAAGTGAGCCAGATCTGTTAGAGTCATTCATTGTTTTCATCGTTTTTTTCTGTTTATTTATTCATTTTTTTCTTATTATAGCTATCAATCTATAAATAAAAATTGTAGTGTGAACAACTTGTCAATAGTTTATGATGAATACCAATCAAATAATTGATAATAATAGTATAATAACTCAACAAAATATAGTTCTTACTGATAGTTTATTAAAAGCAATTCAAACTGATACACATGATTCACGTACTGGAGAACTTATTGTTGGAATTATAGTAAGCGAAGACAACAAAATTTTTAGTTTTTTTTTAAAATTATACATTGCTTTTTTTCTACTTTTTTCCTTGTCATTAAGTCTTATTCAATCATTATCTTGTTAAGTATTATTGGAAATGTCATTGTTGTTACAGCCATATGTCGTGTTCAACGACTTCGTCATCCAACGAATTTTATACTTATGTCACTTGCTATTGCCGATTTACTTGTTACAACAACAGTTATGATACCAGGGTTTATATATGAAATAAAACAAAAATGGATATTTGGACGAGTTTTTTGTAATATTTGGGTAGCAAATGATATAACATTTTGTACAGCATCAATTTTACATCTTGGTAGGTGATGTATAAATTAATTATATTTTTATTATTCTTTTCTATTTATAAACAATACTCATACGAAATGATTTTCCTATCGTATATTTCAGTTGCTGTCAGTTTTGATCGATATGTTGCTATTGAAAATCCACTTAAATATAAACAGAAAATGACTAAACGAACAATTTTTATTATAATTGGTTGTATTTGGTTGATAAGTGTTCTTCTTTCTTATGGACCTGTTTTATTAGGTGTTTATAGTCAATCGAAACCTACTAGTAATTTATCAAATTCTACTGAATGTGGTATGAGACCAAATCGTATTTATTCGATAATATCATCATCAACATCATTTTATATTCCACTTATAATTATACTTTTTCTTTATGGTCGAATATTTATAACAGCACGAAAACATTCACATGAATTACAAAAACTTGAAAATATAATTAAACGTTTACATAGTAATGAAAAATTTGTATTTGAAAATGCTAAATGGAATAAAAATGTTAAAGCTATAAAAACATTAGGTATGAAAAAGAAACGATTAAAGGAATGATATTAAAACATTTAGTTTTGTTTTCCTTTTCAAGGTATTGTTGTTGGTGTATTTGTTGTTTGTTGGTTACCATTTTTTGTCATGTACCTTCTATTAGCTTATTGTGATTATAAATGTGTTAGTCCAAATGTAGAACGTTATATTACATGGATTGGTAAGTTGTCATTAGTCTTCTTTGAGAAATATTTATCATTGTATTTAGGTTATGCGAATTCGTTTTGTAATCCTGTTATTTATGCTTTTTCAAATAAGTAAGTTCTTGTATTTAACTTCTTATCAAATCACATTATTATTCACAAAAAAGAACATGTCTATTAGTTTTTTATTTTTTTATTTCCGAAGAAATTCTAAAGAAAAGAATATTCTTAACGGAGAAAGAAACCTATTGTATGCTAATAGTTATTTCATTAAGATTTGAACAACATATGATTCAATAGGACTTATCGGAGTTTTTTTTTTCTACGCCGTAAACTCTAATCAATCGTCATTAGCTATATGAAATAGATTTTCTTTATAAGAAAAAAAATATGAATTAAACAGTTGAATGATAATGACGAGTTATTTAACGGATAAATGATTACGACTAATGGAACATCTGAAGTTCTTTCAAACATACAATAGACATTTTTGTTTTTCTTGTTTCAGATCATCAATTATAGATATTAAATTTTTAGTAGAGCAGAAAAATATATTAGAATATTGTTCACTTTCATGTCAAGTTAGAAATCGTACTGGAAAAGAAAAAACCTTATTTCCATTGTTAGATGTTGCTATATTTGCTATGAATTATTCAATAGTTTGGACTTTTTAACATTTTATGTTATGAGAATTGGGAACCATGATGCTTAATAGTTGAACTAATTGCTTTTCGTAATCTAAAATCATTTATGAAAAAGACATTTCAATTTGACCTTAGACAAATAAACATAGACATATTTCTTTGTATTTCATATCATTTCTCTTCTAACACTTAACATTTAAACTACAAAAACTGATGTTTATTGACTTAAATATGAATATCAATATGGCATTCGCTACGAAATGATTGTAATAATTGATTTATTAGTTTAGCTAATTTAATTATTAATCGTGTATATGAATAAAAGAAATTCGTCCGATATGAGAATGTTACATAAAATTCAATAAAACTTTTGTCATTTTATTTCACTGAAAAACAAGTCTAATGATTAAAAGTAAAATGTCTAAAAAAAAAGAACATTTTACTCTATATAAGAAAATTTATCATTTCTTTTTACTATCAAATAAAATTAATTATATTGAATAAGTCTGTCATTTCTCATAAAACCAATCAAATTTTTATACAATAGAACCTCAATATTCAAATCAATGACAACATCAATAGAACAATCGTTTTTTTTCTGGTGAAAACACTTTGGCCGAGTATTGAAACATCTTGCAATTGTGAACCTATATTCATATTTATTACTTCATAGTTGTATAAGTTTTTATTAATCTATTCATAAGACTTAATATTATATATATATATATTTTCATCATGAAATTTTTTTCATTTATTTAGAGAATTCCGAAATGCTTTTTATGAAATTCTTCATTATAATAATTGTCAATGTTGTCTCTTATCATCCAAATATACATTTCGTACATCACTTAGTAAATCTACTTACTCAATAAATACAAAATTTACACCACAACCACAGTCACGACAAGCAAGTTTTACACCATATTTAAATATACCACAACGTAATGGTTATCTACATAATGAAATATATTTACCTAAAACGTTAAATGACTCAAAAAAAAGTGAAAGTACTGATACATTTGAAATGAAAACATTAGCAAATCAACGTCCAACACTGGAAGCTTTTAATGAACTTGAACATCTTGTGCCAAATACTATTCCTGATCGTGTATCCATTGCTGAAATGAGTTCATTACTTTATGATCAAGATGACGTAGCAGTTGAAATACCAGTTAATAGAAAACCAACAATTACGTTACAAATAAATCCTTCTTGATTTTCTTTTATCTCATATCAATATGTGTTTATTTATTGGCATTGATGACATCTCTTCATTCCATTAGTCATCTCCTATGTATATACACATATACGCTTGATAACGGTGATTATATTGACAACAAAAGTCCAGTGCGTAGTATTTTTTCGAAGAAAACATGTGTGCGTAAAAGATTTGTGAATATTTTTTTGTTTATTTTTTTTTATATTAGCTTTCAATAACAGTATTCAATATGGTACTCTATTATACAGGTTTTAGAATGAGATATTTTATTCTCAATAATTTGAAGACAATTTAATTTTAGTATTCTTATTTCATCTTTTTTCTTCTAATTCAAAAAGTAGTAGTAAATGAAAATGTTTCTATTATTTGCTTTATCTTTTTATTTAAACAAATTTAATAATGACAATAGTACAAATGAACAAAGAACAATATAAAAGATCTCCAAAAGAATTATCTAACAAAATTTCTTCTTTTTTAATATTCTCAATTGCATTTATCGTATCTCTGATGTGCTAGATGATGTTTAATTCTTATGTTTGGTACATATATGTTCCCGGAATTTTTTGCTCCTTATTAGATTACAAAACAAAATGTTAATATTATCATTTTTTTTCGCCTTATCTTAATTAATATTGATTGATGTACTCTTTCAATATTAATATCTGTCAGAAATACTGATGACCCCAGTGTTCAAGTAGTCAAATTATATGTCAACAAGATAAAGAGTATTACATATTTCTCTTTGATCAGCACTTAAATAAATTGAAAAAAAATAAACTTTCTCAACTAAATCATACAAAAGGTGTCTAATTTTTTATTAAAGTCAAAGTCAAAGTATGATACAAACAGGATTATACTTGTTTAATGTCATCAATGTATTAATTAATTCATATAACTAAATTTATATGAAGGTACAAACAGTTTTCTATTAATATTACTTCTTTTTTTTTATAGTTGATATTCTATCACAAGACTTTAGATATATCTATGATCTGAAAGTGTTGCTCTATTGTAATCTCATCTCACTAATATTTTTTTATTTACTAGAATTGACACAGCCTCCAATCATCGGTTAGACTTAACAAAAGTATGAATTAATTATGAGAACAATTGAAAAATTACTGTCATAGTTTTGGAATTTTTTACTCTTAAACTCCATCCGAATGATTATTTTAAGCTCGAATTAGTAGCAATAACATTCATTAGTGAAAATCGATACGACTTGTAAACTGATCGATTAATTCGCCACAGGCTAATTCATAATTGACACAAAGTTAGATTTACAGTTTTTGCTTGGAAACTTAGAATAAATTAATTTGATTAATTATAAAAAACAACGAATAGTGCACCATTAGATATCCCAATTAGCATTCTTTTGTTTTGTTGCTCAGAATAAATCATCATTGAATTTCATCAATTGTATTAAAGCATGTAATGAATACTATAGAAAACTGATCACATCTGAAAATATTATTATCTGATCCAATTATGCAACTGTATAATGTAACATGATGTTATATTGATTGCAAAAACTGTATCTGAAGATTGATATGAATTATTCATTATATTAAATACATGTTTTTTTTGTGATAAGTTTAAACAGACAATAATATAGAATATCGGAAAAAGTACAATTAGTAGTGTGCCGATATAATTACAATATTATATGTTGAAATGATAAATATTACATCCAAACACAAATTGAACCATTGATATGGCTAAATTTAACTTCTATGAATATAAAATTGAATGTATTCGATAATTTTTTAATAATACGTTATTTTTATGTACAGTTAGAAAATTGTAGTAGTATATGATTATTTCTATATTAATATACGATGCAAAAGTCTTTGAAAAAATGTCAATAATCATTGTTCAACAGTCAAACATAGAATTGATTTGAGCTTTTTGCTTTGTTTGACAGAGGGAAGTTTGAAAAATGAAAACTGCCATTATAGTTAACATGTTTATTTGTGTTTTATTATGATAGAACTCAAACAGGTACAGATACGTCGTTATAGCTCTTGACGTATGAAAATATCTAAGATTAAAAATATTTTTTTTCTGAGAGGTCATAACAATAATACGGTGTTAAAATATTATGAAAGAAACTAAAACTAGAAATCTGACTACAGTACAAGTAGGTATATACTTAGGTCATACCAAAAGTAGTGAGCCACGCATCTTAATTTCCTATAGAACGCTTGGAAAAAATTTCTTTTTTTATGAACAGATAGAGCGTCTTTTGCTCTATCTTTCTATGCTATTTGATCACTATTCAACTAATATCATAATAATAAAATTTCGATAAGATTTGTTTCTTTAGCATATGTCCTGGTACCATGAACATGAATGCTTGTGGATATTTTTTGAATAACGTTTGATAGCAACAAGATAGAGAACTGCGGTTTTCAGTGTTGGAAAGAGGAGATGACGACACATCGAACCGCATATTACTGATTTTTCTAACCTGTTTGTTGTAAGGTTTTCAGTTGACCTTTCAAAGAGTAAACCTATCCCGTAAGTTATTTACAGTGAATATTGAATAATCAGGTTTACATTCAAACCGCTACTCGAAGATCTACAAACTGCGAAAGACTCAGATGTTTAAGTCTAATTATTTAGAGATAATACGTATTCTAACTATGATTTTCTATCAAGTTTTTTGCTTTTTCTTATTTTCATCAAAAAAAATTTTTTCAACGATTAGAAAATTGAATAAAAAAAACTTTAGAAATCGTATTAGAAAAATCAGTAGTATACAGTTCGACGCGTCTTCATCGCCTCTTTCCATAACTGAAAACCGCAGTTCTCTATCTTGTTGCTATCAAACGTTATTCAAAAAGTACTTAGGAGCATTCATGGTTCCAGCACATATGCGAAAGAAACAAATTTTATCGAAATTTTTTTATTATGATATTAGTTGAATAGTGATCAAATAGCATAGAAAGATACAGCAAAAGACGCTCTATCTGTTCATAAAAAAGAAATTTTTTCCAAGCACTCTATAGGAAATTAAGATGTGGGGCTCACTACTTTTGGTATGACCTAAGTATATATTTACATGTGTCAATATATTAATCCACTCCTATTAAAAAAAAGGAAAGAACTTTCTTTTTTTATATTTTTTATGTTCTACGACGATCAAGATATAATATAATCAATAATATGATTGAATTTGTTTTATGTAATACTGATTCACGAGCGTTTATATGGTCTGCTGGGTCGCGTTCATTTTGCCGACAAATCGTTTTGTCGACAAAATTTGTCTATATCTTAACCTATTAAAGCTTGTAGTTTCCAGAGTATACCACGTGAAGGTGTATAGATTAGTAGCACGTGGACAAAGGACAATACGTATAAATGATTACAACACAATATTTAATCTTTTTGTTGGTTGTTACAATTTTTTTCTTTTTTGGGCTGTGGGCGTGAGTGTGGAGGGGGGCTGGGAGTGCCAGTATAGTTGAAGTGTGCGTGTGCCGAGGATACGAAAAAAATCAACACCCACAACTACTTGAAGTCACGATTGGAGTGTAAGGTGTTTCACAAGTAACAAATGAGTTTGATAAAATTTTCTAAATTTTTAAAAAGTCAGAATACCCTCTAGCACTGCCTTGCCTCATGCGACTTAAATTTTCAACGCAACTTACCATGGAATTTCGGAAAAAAATCGTGACTTTGAAAGTCTTCTGACGCAACGTTTTTAACAAACTGCAATTTTTTTCTATTTCAAATATTTGTGGGCAAAATGAATTGTCGACAAAGTATACCGGACCGGGTCTGTTTACATTCTTAGAAGACTAACAATTAGAAAAGAGATTGGTTGAAAAAGGATAAGTATTAAGGTATCAGAAAACGGTAAACAGCATTGCCGGTTCAGTTGGAGGCGACAAAAGGCGTTCATGAAATATATTCTCTTGTAATACTATTTCATTATAAAATAATGTTTTATGTTTAAATAAACTTTTCTATTATATCGTAGCATTGATAAGAATACCATTGAAAAAAGAAGCTTTTTTGATTAAACTTTTAGACATGATTGAATAATCATATTGTTCTACTAAATCTTTTTTTCTCCATCAGTTGATAATCCTGGTTAACTAACTTGATTGAGTGAGTATGGGTCTTATTTGGATATCGACAGTTTGTTTTTGCACTTCATCAGGTATGGAATTACAGCTGCTATTTACTTCCTAAAACATCACTTTACATATGTTTATAATAAACGGATGTGCGTAAGCTTGTCACTATTGATTTGAAACTATAATGCTTGAGTACATTGAGAAGTTATTTTTAATGGAATGTTGTCTGTACCATTAATTATTGGTTTCAATCATGTTCTTCTGAGAAGAATAGGAAAATAAAGAAGATAAATGAATCACAGAACTTGATCCTGTAAACAACCTAAAATGGTCATTTAGGTGTAACTGAATTCTTCTCTTTTATTTGCATTATCTCTTTACTATCTATTCTTATGTAAAGACAAACTAAGAGATATAAGCATCTGATATATTACTTTTAACAGTCGAATTTCTTTCAAATAGTCATTAAACTATTTTATTTCTATTGTTATGGTCTTCGAAGCAAAGATTTATGAAAACGCACCATCGCTTTTGAAGTATTATTTGTAGATAAATCAGACAAGAAAGCTCTCAATGGCATAGTTTCAAGCAGACATGAGCGCATGACAATAAGAATCCTTATTTTCATTTTTGATAACCAAAGTACATATTAATTTATTTATTATCTGATAGCTAATTTGTTTTGTATCATTTTCAAATACGATAGCAGAATTTTCCAATAATAACTAATCTTATGAATATAACGAAGTATGAAAACATGTTGATTTTTTATTTAAATAGCACGTTCATCACAGGAAGCAAACGTAAAAAATTATTAATTTGTGGTGTTTTATTATCACCATCTGTCTATATAGTAGACACTATTAATGAAAAATAAATGCCTACTGGCTAACAAACATGACACCATAAGTAAAAGAAAATATATATCACACACAAAATTAAACTTGTGCATAATTCGTTTTTCATTACAAGCAAAATTACGAAATAATTTTCTTTTACTAAAAAATAAATTTCAAATGTCGTTGGCATTTAGCAGACATAGCATGTACTTGCTTCTTTTTTTTCAGTAGGCACTGTATTCTCACTTGTACATGCTGTACAGTAAGCAGCGATGACTTCACCTATATCAACGTCAGAACTCATCGTATTTCATTCATGTCTGAGAATAGTTATAAGCTAGAAAATTGAAAAACGTCTTATTTTAAACAAAACTGAATTCTCGACAAGTCTATCCTCAATAAAAAATTCGACAATGAGCAAGGAGTAGCAAAGAGTGATCTCATTTTAGTAGCACATCAACCTTTGAAGTTGCTGTTTTATCTCTCTCGTGAGTATTCTTCTTTTCGGAATGTGCTTCGACTATTCACTATTTGAACAAGTTCAGGATAATTTTAATAAATTATCTCATATTGCTCAATCAGCAAAAAATCCTGTCATTTCACTAACAAATAATCTTCACCTACGTGATAGTCTTCAACAATCTTTACAAATAAATCCCAATCTACTTCATACTGCTTAACAAATTGTATAAAACCATTTTTTAAAATTAATTTATGAAAATAATTAATCAAATTCTGTTTTCATTGTTATGTTTTTGTCTCGATCATTTTATACTATGCGGTTTTTTTTCTGTTACTTTTCAATAAATAAAGTTTTCTTATTTTATATTGAATTGATCGATTTCTTTCAGTCATAAAAATTTTTCTATGTTGTTTAGAATATATTCTAGTGTAGTTTATCATTTATGACGAGCTGTAATAGTGATAAATGGAACTATTTGTTTTTTGATCCCAGTCCTGACCCACAAAAAGTTTTGGTTATACTTCCGCGTTTAGTAATACATGTACGTGTGAAAAACTCGATATAATTTTCCAGCAGTTTTAATGAGCTCGAGACATCTTGACCGACTTGCATGACATCTAATATCTTCCCTCTTGCAGATTAATTAATTTCTTTTAATTCACTAATCCTTCGTCTGTTTTGTACGTTTATATCTTTAATCATTGTGTGATTTACGAGAGGAAAAAGATTAATGTCACTATCAAATTTGCAACAGCGACTATTGAAGTGATCAATATTCAATAATTTTGCATACCTTTTTTTAGAATACATGATTCGTGAGAATATCACATTTGACGCAAGTTGTACATCATCATTCACGATATCGTTTCTCATGAAAAAGTGTTGGTTCTATCCCTACCGAGAGCTAGATCACCTTGGTCATATCTAAGCTGCACACAAGAAGCATATTCATCATCATTATATTTACACAGTTCTCTATTATGTACAATGCATGCATTAGTTATACTAGTTGTACAATGATCAACAAGACGCTATGCCATTGGTTTGTTACCATAGAATAGATTTTAACAAAAGAATTATTATGTTGTTGTTCAGCAATCAAAAAAAAATATGCTGATCAAAAAATGGTGTTTGATGAGAAATCAAAAAGAGAACTAAGGATGATACCCAGAGCAAAGCTAGGAGTTCAAGTGGACCTTGTATTTCTTATTATATGGATTTCGAGATTTTCATGATTGTTGTTGTTGTTGATAAACAAGTATACAAGCTGCTTTACTGATAACATCATTTTCATTAACATCTGATATTTTTGAATCATCAAACGTATGCCATTTTTTGTCAATAGAACTTTTTGCATGTGTAGTATAATGTCCACTACTTAAACTGTTCATATCATTACAAACAGCAATTAAATTGTATTTCGCTTTTAATTTTTCATCTGGATTTAGAACAAATTGTGATAAATCTAAATCATGTATTGGACAATCAATCAATAAATCAATGTTATCACGAAAATAACTAGTATAATTATGATGTTTTAATTTGATAATTAAAACTTTAGGTAAGAGCCATAAATCAATTTTTTGTGTAGCCTTTTTCAGTGCATTACATTGTGGACATTTCCATAGATCATTTTTAGGTAATACTTTCTTTTTTGTAAAATAATGAAACCAATCGAACAATGTAGCTGATCGTTTTTGTTGCATACATGTTTGAATAGAAGAAACAATTGATGAAACATGATCTTTTTCTGAACTTTTTCTTTCTTCTTCTCTATTTTTGTATTTTTCAGCAATCGATGATACAACATCGATAATAAGTGTTGTACTGTTACCAGTAAAATTAATATGATCATCAAGACACGATTCTAATGATTTGATTGTTTGTTTATAACTTTGAGTGATTGCCAACGAAGCCGTATAAAATGGTTTATCCGATAAATCCATTGAAGGTAATGGAAGAAAAATACTGATTGATTTCTAAAAAATGAATCATAATAAACAAATAATAGAGTATCTCAGTTTTTAAGAATTGAAATTTTTTTACCTGCAATTCTTCTTTTATGTCACTTCCTTTACAGTTATGTCTTGGTATATTAAGATAAAAAGGGATACCAAATTTTTGATGATTTTGATCATCTTCTTGAAATACACATGGCATCAATATTTTATCGTTATTTTCTTTTATTAATGAAACAGGTATTTCATAAAAAAAAATTTGATCTCTTTCAAGTATATTTCTTAACGAATTATTATCTGCATATTGTAAATGAACTCGATGATTGTGAAGTTCAACAGCTAAAATATGATCTGATTTAGGTTGATGTCCATCATAATCCGATACTTCTGTAAAATCTTCTTCTTCTTCTTTTTCTTCATCTTGATTAGTTTCACTGAATTCTGATACAAACTTAGTTTCCTCAGATTCTTTCTCACAAATATTTTTCTCTTTTGGTTGAAAACGATCACAAAAATCTTGAATTAAATTACGCATACTACCATGTTTATCAGATTTAATATCATAAGATTTAATTTGTCCATTTAAACGAACATACATGATTTTAAATGTTCGTGTTTCTAATTTTTTTGATAATGGTAAACCAAATGTACGTATCGGTTCAAAGACACGTTTTGATGTTTTACATTCGAGACATTGCATAACTGATTTGATTTGTCCATCAAACAAATCATGAATTTTTGATCGATTTCCTTTTCGATAATAATCCCATTGTTCAGCAGCTAATGTTGAATCATCAACGGTTTCATCATCATCATCTGTTTTTTCTATATTTGGTTTTTCTTTGAAAAGATTTAAATCTTCATGTAAAATATCAAGTAGAAATGATATAAAATTTTGTGGATCTTTTTGTGAAAAACTACGACATTTTTGTGCATAATGTGCAACACTTCTTCTTAAAAATCGTGGTGCAGAACAATTTGTTTTACCGGACCACATTTTATGTATTAATTCACCATATGCTAAAGCAACTTCACCCTTCATACCTAACGAATTCTCACGATTTACATGATCTTGATATTCATTACGAAGAAAATATTCTGTTAATGCTGGAACATTGGATAGACATTGTATAGCTGAATTCATGAAACTAGTTTTACCCAAACTTGATAAACCACAAAGTGTGGGAATGTAATGTATTTTTGATGTAGTAGATGACGAAGCATTATGTTCTGCTAATGATCTGGGTTCATATGTAACAAATACATTTTTTGTTAAACCAATATCATCCAGGGTTAAGTCTGATTGTTCATCAATGAGTTTCCAATTCAAACCATTTTCATCCACTGATGAATATAAATGATGACTTGAACTTGGTGTAATACGATGTTCATTACAAATATCGTTTTTTATTTCTTGTATTTTAGTTCGACGACTACGATAGATTTGTTTTGTTCTTGCATTCAAACATCTTGATTCACGAAGTCTTAATGGTACGAGAAATGTTTCAATTACAACTTGATTTTGATCTTGCGGAATTGCTTTACGAATGATTTCGGGACCGATTTTTTTATATGTTTCTACTAAGTCTTGATAGAATTCATATGGGATGAAGGTATAATCATTTCCTTCGATAGCATCTGAACGAAGTTGTATTTCATTTGAACTATTGGCTGTTGTTAGATCCATTAATTTTGTAAAGTCTATTGGACCTGGTTTAGTGACTTTTTCCTCATCTGACTTTTCGATACCAACAAAACGTTTCCACTGCTCTAACCATTTAATATCAATAATCACATATTTGTCATTGATTTGTGGCTCCTTTGTAAGTAATCTTTCATATTTTTCCAATGGATTAGATGACATTGGAATATATATTACTTTTCTCTTTTAAAAAAAAAAGTAAAATATTATATTAAAGAATATATGAAGACGAGAATAGATGACGAAAAATTGAGCAATAACTCAAATGGCGACTTGCGTTTAATTCAAGAACGAATGCATTGTTTGAAGCAAAGCATGTTTCTTGATAAAAGAACGAAAAAAAAATAATCTAAAACATTGACGCAAACTGACGAAAGAAAGCCGTGTACTCGCGCAAGAATTTGTAATATGCAACATTCACATCATCACAAAGCAATTTTTTACTGAGAAAAAGCTAACATGACTCCTTGTTTCGTTGGTTATGTCCTTTTTAAAGTGTTTCTTAACAAATACATATAAAGAGAGCATAAATGTGACACTGATGATTATTAATATAAAGATTGTGAGAAAGCAATAAGGTTTGTTCATTAGATGCCTGGATGATTTATGAACGACTATTCTCATTGCTGTTTCTTGACAAGCTGACAAGAATTGAATCATTTTCAGAGAACAACAATCTGATGAGTAAGATGAACATGTTCAAAATTTTCAAATACTTAGTCTTGAAAAATATAAGGAGCATAAATGTTTAAAACAATGGAAACTTTCTTCGAACAAACACTGAAACCTTACAAACTTAGAAATCGCTCGTAAAATTCTTTCTCTTTACATTCGAGCATTGTATCCACAGTTGAATATAATGCCATTTTCGCTGTCAAATTTTACATCAATCAACGTCATCAAGACATGAACTTGAAAAATAGCAATAAATTATTAGTGTTCAAATATGATATAGTAGTTTGACAAATTAATTAATTTATTGTCGAAATAGTCGTCAGTAAAATTGAGAAAGCATACGAAAACAGGTTTATATAAATGAACCTCTAATTTTTCGGTATTTGTTTATTTCTATATTAGTTATAAATAAATGAATTTTTTTTTCGATTTTAACTTTAATTTGTATCATATATATTCATGATGTCATCGTCAATGAGTATTAGAATATAACTATAAAATATATAAAGAGATCTTTGATTTTTGTTTGTTTATCTTTGGTGACTAATACTCTTGAGAATATTATAAAATTCATGAAAATGAAAGACCGGATGAGTTTTTTTTCGTGCTTCTATTATTCTATCGGAGGCAAAATAGAGAAATACCTGCATTTTTAAAGCAAGCAAACAAATGAATTATAAACTTTAGTTATTTTTGATAATATCACTCCGGACAGGAATAAGACTGAAATGAAATTCGTGGTCTATTATTCAAACAATATATGAATAAGATATGCAACAGATCATAATAATGAATCCATCTAATAGATAAATATCTTATTATCTCAGTATGACAATATGAAATCTTGATAGGTAGAAAAGTATGCTATACAAGCAAATAAAAACCAGAAGAACTCGGTCATTCACAGTATAGAGAATCTCGAATTCAGTCATCTAGGTAATGGCAGCAACAGTAATCAATAATGAAGAGTACAAATACATAATTATTTTATGAAGATTTCATGTTGAAGAAACTTCATTCTATTACGTTTAGTACGAGTGATTGGCTTAATGAGAATAGAATAGAATAAAATAAATAACTCCTTAAGCTATTTTTCTTATATTCAAGTAAAACAAATGTTCAACTGTTTGCTATATTGAGTTTTTGTTCTAATTATCGAAATCCTAGACTGATTGTGTTCTCTCTTAATAAATTCTATGTCTATAAATATATTTTACATAAATATCGTTATATTATCAAATACTTAAAAAAAGTGTGCACATTTTTTCAATCAATAGCATATGTGAGTTGTAAAAAACCTCTGCTAAAAATATACCAAAATTCACATGTAAATGATTACCATTCACTGATACCACCAAGAGAATGTATTAGAACTCTACGAACTAAGAGAGTCAGATGGCAGGATTAGGTTAGAAGCTTTTTTACATCACAGGTTGATGAGTTAATAAGGTCATAGCTTGTCAAGCTGTGATAAAATAGTATTGTCAACATGCTTACACGATTCCAAAAACAAAAGAAGATGTTTTGAATTCGTTAAAATTATACACTATGCTCTCCTGAATAATAAATACGAATAGACATCACTTCTCTTGTTGATCCAATTACCGTGAAACGTCACTCAGTTGAATATTTCATGAAGTACAAACCCAAATAATAACTTATATAATGGTCAAGTTACAATTATTTGAAAAAGTAAACATTAATTGAAAAATTTGCAAATTATTTATGTACAAAATACTATGGTTGCTTAGTATTCTGAATGACAAAAGCGATTCATGTTTCAGAAATTGACATAATGGACGTCAGGATAATATATACAAAACAAGCAACCTATATCATTACTCATGAATTACTAATAAACTAAAACTATTGTTCAATTCTTATATGAACTAATAATTTGTACATATTAACCAAAACATGTTTAACAAGGTCTAGTCTTATCTTGAAGTTTTTGATATTCTACTTATGCATGATTTATATTTTCTTGTACAAACCAATCGCAAATTATTCTAATATTGATTACGTATGTTACAAGATGCATCTTGAAATAATTGAGAAATATAGATCTCATTCTTCCAAAAGATTCGTAATGGATATTGACATCGATCATGTTCGCATACCAGATACTATCTGGATAAAAGTTTTTACATGATTGAGTGTCTACTGATGTTAGTTTAATATCGTCACAGATAATTTCACGGACTTTTCCAGTACTTCATATTATAAGAATAATCTGTTCATTTTCACTAGACTATTCGTATAATCAACATGTTGATGCATCGAAAAGACAAAAATGTGACATTTGTGGATCCTAGTGACAATCAAAAGAGAAGCCAAAATCAGATTGAACTGATAAATCATATTAAGCAATTCATGTGAATTGACTTAAAAAAAACAATCAAGAACGATATATGAATATTTAGAGAGTCAATGTTGATTATGATGAAAACATAGAAATTTTGTAAATATATCAGTAATTGGTTGTGAAAGTAAAAAAAATAGTGCTCAATGAAAAATGCAATACAAGAAGAAAATAGTTTTATCATGGTAGAAGTTTGTAAAAACTTGAATGATTTCTTGATAAATGTAATCAACACCTCGAAACTATCATTCATTTCTAACTGTGACTTTATATAGCAAAGTCTGGAGTGAATCATAGATTTCTATTGAAGCATTAATAGAAAAAGCATTTTTCTTTGTTAATGATTTATAGTTTCTATGTTTAACGATTAGGAAGTAAACATCATGCTTGACAAATGTCAGCTATGTATTATATGAAATTGAGTCATTGATTGCAGAAAGATTAAAGAATATGAATGATTTAAAGTGAGAGATCAAAACTAAAGTTTGTCACAATTTTTTTCAAATGCATTAATGTAATAGATAATATATTCTGTAAGACGATTTTTATTTAATATATGGTTTATTATTGAATACAAATATATAATTGAATCTTCTGACTTTATAAATGATATTTTAGTACTATGCACACTTAATACTGTTACCTATGTAATTTGTTTCGACATCTTATGATTAATTTAGCCTTTTAAAGCTTTCTTCGATGATACACATATGTTGCATTTGAAAACAAATAGAATACATTTTTCAATTGTATTTATTGTGTTAAGGGCACTATTGATTGTGTGTGTATGTTAAAACAGATAACATTTTAAAAATCATTTATGATTGATATTTGCAAGTTGACTGCTATAAAAATAAATGTTATTGTGCTTTAATTATGACAGAATTTAAGAACATTACTAGGTCACGATAGCATCAAATAATGTTTAAATAGGTAGTTTTGATGTCACGAATATTCTAATCTATTATACTAATCTCTTGTATGATTTTAATTAAGATTCATCGTCGTCAATATGAAAATGATGATTATTATTCATAGGGTATCTTGTGTGTCGATGAAGTTTTCAAATTTTTACAAAGACCTATAACTGTTTTTGACAATAGTAGGTAGGCAATCCTGAGCTGTTTATAGTCAGTAGTTATATCTTGAGGCAAGATATGTGTCGAGAAGACATTAAATTCTAATGGCTTGAAGAAGTGCTTAAATGCACAAAAATTAGTGTACTATTGATGGATCAAATTGACGGTCATGGTTTCAGTACTATAAACAAAACTAAATTATAAAACAATGAAAATACATTATAAACTACAAATAACGGCATTATATGAAACAAGTATTTATGAGACCAGAGCAAAATTAATAGTAGACTTTACAATAGATTATTCTAGAATTTCAAAAGTAAATAAAAGCAACTAATATGTGAAATGTAATCTATATTGCTGTTGATGCTTTCATTAATCCATACAATAAAGTTATAGCAAAAAATGCAGTTCTACAGTGAACTGTAACAGTCCAAATTGAAATAGTCAGCTTAAATCACAAGAAACTATTAGATATGTAAAATTATGTGCAGACACTTAGTTTAAAAGAAAATTAAATTAGTAATATAAGAAATGTATTATTGATTTATTGGTGAAATGAAGATTATTATCTAAATCATTATGAAAGTTAATACTTTGATGATATACTTTTGAATAAATGTTCTATGAGAACGTACCAAATATCCATCGAAATTAGTATCTTCATGTTATATTTTAGCTTTATTTATTTTTATGTATCATTTTTGCACTTTTCTGTTTTATCTTACATAGTGGACGTAGTATTCTAGATTACTCGAACTATGGTTATGAAAGTGTGTTTTTCTATTATTCTTTATTATATTTCTAATTGTATGTTACGTGCGTCAGTAGTTTATTTTGTTCTTCTCTTGTTCTGTGAATCATAGTCATCAAGTAAAGTTCAAACTTCATGTCACACTCTTAAGATTCTGACATGTCAAAGACTAACAACTAAGATTTGGAGTATGTTAATGCACTTCTTATTTACTTTCACTTCCCACACACCACAAGTCAACAAGTGTGATTATACGTGCGAAAATCAATGTTATTAACATTGTCATCAAAAGTAAGAGAATAGTAAAAATGCGTAATAAGATGAAATAGTAAAAATTTGAACTTTATATCAAAATTAATAAATCTCCATTGAACTTTCATATCATTATTAACACATATTAGATATTGAACAAGACTCACAAGTCTACAGAATCTATGAGTTGTCAAGTTCGAGTTCAAATATAAATGAAGTTTTAACTGTATAAGATGACTTCGAAAATAAATAAAAAAGAATCAAACCAGCACTTGTTTAAAGTAAAACTAAAACACTTTAATCTCAATAATAAATTATAATTCAGATAGAGTTGTTCTATAACTGTCACAAAAAAGGAAAAGATAATTTTGATCTAGCTTGTTATAGTAATGCAGACAATAATATTAGTGAAATAATTGATGTCTCAATTTTTTATTTCTTTCGTAGATCAAAAATGCGATAATAAATATTCATTTGTACAGAAGTGCATTTGCTGGTGCATAGCATCCTCTGAACTGCGTATACAGTGATTGTAATACTTCTGATAGATTCTTTTATACCTTAATGAAGTAGCTATGTAATCAAATACGTGAGCTGTAATTATTTCATTACTGAATACGGAAAATAACGAAGTAATTGTTAATTAGCCTTCAATTCTAGTATCACTAATGTCTTGAGAATACGAGGATGGCAACACACACACATTGCAGCAACCGAAAGTGTTACTAAAATAATAACACGTATGACAACAGCTAAGAATACCACGGAAATATTATCACATCCATCACAGCATGTAAGGATGTCGTGGAAAACAGGCACGTAATGCATTGCACTCGCGTGTTAGAAGTACAAGAAAAAGACTTCGCTTTTTCATTACGGTGACTATGTCTATTTTGGATGTGTTGAAATTTTTGGAAGTTGAATCAGTTTCTTGCAGAGTATATACAAGACATTGGATTTTACATAAGTTGAAATTTATAGCGTCTACCGTAACATCAGACGTATATTCACTTTTATATCAGCCTCGACATGTGATGGCGTGAAGTTTCATCCGTTAAGTGACAATATGTGGCATTTTTAACAGCAGGATATCTGTATTATAATTTATAATTGACATCAATTTTTTTTGCCTACTATGGTCCTTAGGTATTTTCTGTAATTTTTGTTTCTATTCGAATTCGTATTGAATTACTACTTGCTATTTCGATGTTATTACATATCTATAAACTTAATAAAATTTAAGCTTGCTTATCACTATGTGAAGCAACATGATATTTGTGACTGTTCTATTTTTATTTTTGAATTTCGTTTTTCTTTCAACCACAATATTTAATGTCATAAAAATTTTCAGTAAGAGAATTGTCATAAGAACACACTTTTGAAAGAAGTATATATTCGATAGTATCAATATTTGATCCATTGTCTATCGAAATGCCGTATTTAGAAGAATTCATATATGGTATTGACTGTGAAAATTTGAGCCATTACATCATGAATTTATATTTCATTCAACTATCTTCATTATAGAAGTTTTTGAAGACGATCACCTGTTTGTTTTTATACAAAAAAAAACAACAAAGTTTTAACATCAATTAAAAATCATTCATAAAAACAAATGCCTTTATATACAACGAAAAGAAAGAACATGAGGCAATCCTCATTTGATTTCAATATATTCAAAACAAAATTATCAAAATGATTTCTTTGATATTACATCAGCATTATTAGAAATCGCGAAGTTCATATATGAATCATACTTTATAGTAAAAATAACACAACCAAATGACCTCAATAACAAATAACTATTATTATTTCTTAATAACAAATAAATAGAAATAGGTGATGCGTTTCTAACATTTCTGTCGACATCTTCATAGATGGGTCTAAAATCAATGCAAAGTGTTTTTTTTTCTTTTTCTTTCTTCAACAATCTTTGTTTTTCTTTTTTATGATACTAGCAACCATAAATATGTCAAACGATTATGCAATTCTATCCATCATTCAATTTGATCAAAATTATGGCTAGTAATATATTACCAAAAATGACACGTATTGTATGTATAAGTGATACTCATACACGTTATAATTTTGCTCTTCCGCCTGGTGATATACTTGTTCATGCCGGTGATTTTACTTTATCAGGTTACCTAACTGAAATAGAAAATTTTATAACATGGCTTAAATCTTTAACACAATATCGTTTAAAAATATTCATTGCTGGTAATCATGATTTAACTCTTGAATCTGAATTTTATGAACGAACATGGAACCGATGGCATCCTAGAAAGAAACAAGATTATGAAAAAATTGGACGAATAATACATGATCCATCATTAGCCACTGATTATGGAATTGTTTATTTAGAACAACAAGAATTTATTGATCAAAAAACAGGATTAAAATTTTATGGAAGGTAAAATTAATTTAAAAGAAAAAGATTTAAAAAAAAAATAATAGAAAATATTTTTTGTTTAGTCCCTATCAACCTGAATTTTGTGATTGGGCATTTAATTTACCTATTGATAGTCCTGAAATCAAACAAGTTTGGTCAAAAATACCTGATGATGTTGATGTACTTATTACACATGGTCCACCTAAAAATATTCTTGATACAACTTATGATGGTCAACATGTCGGCTGTGCACAATTACTTGCACGTATTAAACAAATCAAACCACGATTACATGTATTTGGCCATATACATGAAGGATATGGACGTGAAGAGAAAGATTCAACTATATTTGTTAATGCATCTACATGTGATTTACGTTATCGACCGTCTCAACCACCAATTATTGTTGATTTAGAAGTAAAGGGAACCGAATGACATTTTATTATTATTATTGTTTTTTTAAATATTCATATATATATATATATATATAATGAAGAATAAAAAGATACGAGAAATAAATACACAATATTAAAAGGATGACTCACTAAAAATATACTGTTTACAAATAAGTAAATATTCATTTTTCTTGCACGAACAACAGAAAACAACAAAACACACAACATGGAAGGAGAAAAAAAAATAAAGAAATGCAATTAAGTGCAACAGGGTTAATGATATTGATGGAATGACAAAAAAAAACGAAAACGAGATCTTAAAATTAATTTGAATCGTTTTTGCTTGGCTTTATTATAAATACCAATCATTGCCTATTAACGAGCGCACGAATAACTCGTTTTATAGCGGCTTTTGCTGCATCTTCTGTATTTGATTGTTCTTGTTCATCATCATTTGATGATGTTACTACTGGACTAGTAGTAGTGAGTGATATTGTAGGTGTTGTTTTCGGACGACCTGTACGAAAACGACGTTTTGTTGATGGTCTATCACCACTTGCGACATTCATTGAACCACCGGGTACTTTTGGTAAACCATTATTTACCGATGGAATGGTTGTTGTTACACCACCGGATGGAAGAACAGGTGCTACTGATTTAACTTTCGATCCAATCCATGCTAAATAAGTAAGTTAAAAAAAAATTTTTGATTTTTCTTTCAGAATTATAAATTTATTAGGCGCTAAATAATCGAAGCAGAAGTTAAACATGCAGTTTGCTGAATACTGAATAGGGACAATAAATAAACAAAAAACAACAGAATTTTTACCTATCACCACAATGGCAAAAATTATGCCCACGACTCCCATAATGATCATCATCTAATAAGCCCCGTTAGAATTGTCGTTTGTTTTTCTATCATAAGCAAGAGTTAAAGCGTCTTATTCTTACCTTCATATTTTTCCACCAATATTTTCGTTTTAATTTGCCTGCATGTTGTTCAAATTGAGCTGCATTATGTTGTAATTTATCTTAACACAAAAAAAAAATTAGCATATAAATTTTTTTAATTCAAAAACAAAAAAAAAAGATATTTACCAGCTCGATCATCAAGAAGTGACAAATTTTTGTCACGTTCTAACACCTTATCAACATTTTGTCGCATAATATCAACAACTTCATCGACTTGAGCTTGCTGTTGAGCAAGTCGTTTTGAACCACCACCACCGGCAGCAGCTGACGGAACGCCACTACCATTAGTTGTCCTGTGAAAAACAAAAATAGCATTCATTTTTCTAAGACGCTATTTATATTCAATCGAATACTTACATGTTATAAATTAATTTAATATAACAAGATAATTATACAAAAACAAAGAATCTAGAAAAAATTTTTTCAAAAAGAAAAAAGAAAAAGAGATAAAATTGAAGATCACGTAATGCAAAGCTTTACTCTTGTTGATAGATTTTCTTTTTTGTTGCACATCACTACTAAGTTTAGAACGCACAAAAAAAAAGGATTTGTGTACATAATGCAAAAAAAAACAAACAAATGATATAAATGAAAGACAAATTAGATCATATCACCGGACGTGAAAATGAGAAAATGTTTGAAAGCACGACATGAAAGGAACAAATAAAGAAGACGAGTTATTAAAAAATCGAGAAGAACAGACGAATGTGAATAGATGTTTTCTTTTTTTTGCACAAGATAAGAATAAATCAAAAGAGCATAAAATAAAACCTAATGTGTTCTATATACATTCGGATATAAACTACAGTTCACGAAAGAGAGTACTTTAAAATAAAATAAAGAATATATAATTTAACATAAAAATTCGTTGAAATTTTTCTTTTTGACTTGAAATTATTTTCCATTTTTATTGTTTTGAATCGATAGAGTTATAGGAACTAAAGCAAAAGATATAATTTTTTTCCTCAATTATTTTATTCATAATTCTTACCAACAATCACAATGATGAGAACAATCTAAATTGAAAATTAATTTACATAAAAAACAAAATAAAATATTATTTATTACTTACAATAATAATTATCAAAATGATCCACATCTAAAGAAATAATAACAAATATGATTTAAAAGAAACTTTATTTTCATAGATAATTAGCAATAATATCAATCACATGAAAAAATAATAATCTACCTTTATATTCTCAAGCAATATTTCATTTTTTAAGTGTTTAGATGTATAAAGAAAACCTTCCGATACAACATTAATTTGTCTGAATAATAAAAATTCTCTTACTCTTATCTTAAAATATATATTTTTTTGTTCTTATGTTAGTTTTTAATTAAATATCGAAAATCAAAACACTTACTTTGAGATTTTTCCACTCATATTTACGTTTCACTTTTTCTGTTGTTTTTTTTAATTGTTGTGTACTTTCTTCTAATTTTTCTTAACAAAACAAATAATTTTTATGAATAATTTTGTTTAAAAAAAAAAAAGAAATTTACCAGCGTTCTGAGTCATAATTAACAAATCTCGATCACGATCTAACGCCATGTCAACGTTTTTTCGCATGATATCAACAATTGTACTGACTTGAGCTTGCAGTTGAGCAAGTAGTTTTGGACTACTACCATTGGTAGAAGCTGGTGGAACGTCACTATCATTAGTTGCCCTATGAAAAAAAAATACCATTCATTTTCTGAGAAATTATTCACATTCAATCGAATACTTACATGTTATAAATTAATCTAATTTAACAAGATAATTGTATAAAAAAAAACAAAAATCTAGAAAAAATGTTTTCATTAAAAAAAAAGAAAGAGAGACAAAAGATGCAGATGACATAATGCAAAATTTTACCCTTGTTGATAGATTTTCTTTTTTTGTTGCACGCAACTACTAAGTTTAGAACGCAAAAAAAGTTGTGTGCGCATCATACGAAAAAAAAACCAATGGCATGAATGAAAGAGAGATAAGATCGCATCAACGGACGTGAACATGAGAGAATGTTTTAAAGCACGGCATTAAATAAACAAACAAAGAAGAAGAACCATAAAAAAATCAAGAAGAATAGACGAACGTGGATAGGTGTTTTTTTTTTTGTTGCGCGAGGAATGAAGATAAATAAAATAAGCATACAAGAATCAAACATAACATGTGATATATATATTTATACGGATATAAAATAGTGTCCACGACAAAAAGTATTCTAAAATAAAAATTATAAATTAAACAATTTAATATTAAAATTCTTTGAAATTTATCTTACCTGCCTTGAAATCATTTTCCATTTTTATTTTTAACCGATTGGGTTATAGCAACTAAAGCAAAAAATGTAAATTTTTTTTTAAATTATTTTATTCATAGTTCTTACCAACAATCACAATGATTAGAACAATCTAAATTAAAAATTAATTTATACAAAAAAAATAAAATATTATTCATTACTTACAATAACAATAATCAAAATGATCCACATCTAAAGAAATAATAACAAATATGATTTAAAAGAAATTTTTTTTTTCATAGATAATTAGCAATAATAGCAATCACATGAAAGAATAATAATCTACCTTTATATTTTCAAGTAACATTTTACGTTTTAAACGTTTTGATGTATAAAGAAAACCTTCTGATGTATCCTTTAGTTTGTCTGAATAATAAAAATTCTCTTACTCAAATCTTAACATGTATTTTCTTCTTTGTATGATAGTTTTTTGTAAAATAACGAAAATCAAAATACTAACTTTAAGGTTTTTCCACCAATATTTACGTTTTAATTTACCAGCATTTGTTGTAAATTGTGATGCACCAGTTTGTAAAATTTCTGAAAAATAATTTTTTTTGTAGCAAAATCAATAGAAAAAAAAATCATATTATAAGCATAAACATAAAGAGCAGCATGAAACTATATTGATAGATTTTTATTAAACTTACCTGCACGATTTTCAAGTGTACTTAATTTGGCATCACGTTCCAATACTTTATCAAGATTATCTTTCATAACATCAACGACCTGTACAAGACATGCATACATAAACAATATTACATAAAGCAGAGATATGTAAACTATTGGAATTGGATAATTTCAATTTTTTAAAACTAATTTATTATATTGAAAGACAAGAATAGATTAAAGAACAAACCTGATTCACATCAGCTTGAAGATTATCAAATCGTTTTGTTGATTGATATTGTGTTGCACGAGATGGATTTTCATATGACGATGCCCTTAAGAAACCCAAAAGAATTACTAATTATAAAATTATTTTATTTCCTAATATTACTAACATTGTTCAATTGAATTGCTTTTGATCAGAATAATCTATGAATCTGAAAAACAACAACACGTCAAATCAAACATCCGGAAAACTAATAAAGGCAACGACGCCATATTGGCCTTGTTGTCATATTTTCCTGCACAAGAGGAGATTTTTATAGATTTAAGATACTAGCGACAAACAGAACAATTTTATTAATAAAATCATTTGAGGAAATCAATTGTAATATAAACCAATCATAGAAAAGAAAAAGACAACTGCTATTCTCTTTTGCAAATATATAAAACGTTTTTACGACAGAATGCGAAAGAAAAAGAGAGAACCGAATATTTGATTTTATTTTTTTTATTTCAGATGTCTTCAATTAATTTATCCGATGATTTATTGAATAATTTTGAAGATTCAATCAAATCATTAATTGCCTTTCTTCTACAAGATCCATGTACAGGTTCAAGTTCAGCTGTAACATCTACTTCAACATCTGAACATAATTCAGCTGCAGTTGAACAACATATGCGTCGTATATATGAATCAGCGAATGAAATTGAATGTAATTTATTACAATTAAAAGCATTAGTCAATCGAACATTACCTGAAGAACAAATACTTGAAAATATAACAGATTTACGAACAAATATTGAACGAAAAGAAACATTATTAAGAGAATTTAATCAATATTTAAATGATGCTATAGCAGATTTTAGTGTTGAAAATACAGAAAGTCTTAATGGATTACTTGATGAATTAAGTCGAGGTATAACAACAACATCGGCTCTTACAAATGTAGATCTCGGTGATAATTTATCTCAAGCAACAACAACAGCATCAGCAAGCCAATCTTGTTAGTAATCAAATTTTTCTTTTACGAAATATTTAAGATTCCTCGACTTTTGAATCTTTAGAGAGAGAGAGAACAGTTCTTCTCTGATTTTCTCACTCAGATAGACATGATCATAAACAACCGTTTGAATACGAAAAAATGTGGAATGTGTACAGATGTATACGGACTACATATACTTTGATCTATATTCAAAACTACTTGAACTATTTAGTGCGTTTAGTTTTATACTATTCTAATGATTAAAAGAATTCAAGTCTATAAATATTTCTTTTCAATATTGTAACAATTTTGTTAATATATCTTCATTTTCTCTTTCAGCAATTCTTGGCAATATGACACTTACAAATCCAACAACGTCAGATTCTTCTCAAGATTCTCTACGACCATTTTTATTTTAACTATAAGAGACAGGACACAATTCGTTATAAACGTTTTTTTCTTTTGTCAAAAACAAAATATAATCGAGAAAAGAGATTTACGTGATAGATGAACTTTAATATTTTCAGATAAGTTCGTTTGATCAATTATTGCTCGACATATTTTATGTGATAGTTTAATTAAATGGATATAGAAAAGAAATTTTTCAAATATAATATTTATTAATTTATCATTTAAAGATGAAAACATTAAATTTAAATTGAATAATAAATGAAGCCGAAGATCTTTCCGATCGAGTACTCATTGCAATAATGGTGAAACAATATGTTAGCTACAAGTTTTTTTTTTAATCTGTTTTTTGTTATAAAATATTTTTTTTCAGTAATACAATTCATTTTAATGATACTTGGTTGCAAAAAATTTTTACTGACATAGGAGATGATTATCAAATAAAAGTGAAAGAAAACTAAATTTTTCATGTTAATTATTCATTTAAAATATATTTTATGCAAATAATTTGGATACAATTCTAAATAAAATATAAGATATTATTATTCTAAAGTATCTTTCATTGTTAAGTAAAATTTCTATTCTTTATTTTTATGATATTATTTGTAGACACTCAATCAACCTCTAGTTGATTTTCAAATACTCAATTTGAATATGATCGGTAATAAAAAGTAATTGCATAATCGATTATCTTTTAGTTTCTTATTGTTATAGCTGAAAGTATTAATGAAATTGAACTTGGTCGTCGATTACAACTTATTCTTGGTTGTGTTGTTAGTTGCGATCGAAAACAACTTTATATTAAAAATATTCTATCTCTGGAAAAATTGATTCAACATATTCTTATGAATAATATCCAAGAAGTGAATAGAAAAGTTATTAAATTGATATACAAATGATATGTTTTTCATTTTTACTTAATGATAGAAGAAAATACAAAACAAATCAAGAATATTCTAAAATAGAAAATCAAGTAAAATTCTTTTTTTTTTTTTATTATCAACTTTTAATTAAAAAATAAATAGATTATATCGATTTTGTTTTAGTTAAAACATACATTAGTAGAACATAATCAAATGGTTAACGCTAAACAAGATATTGAAAAAAAAGTTCTCATGAACTTAATTTAGAGATTTTATATTAGTAAATCAATTAAAACAATTCAATAATATTTTTAAGATATCTACAATTCAAGATGAAAAACTTAATTCTCCAGAAACTATCTGGTTCATAGAAGAAGTTTCTCAACTGATTATTAGCCAAAAGTACGTAAATCATGTAGACTCTAATGAGTACTTCGAAAAGCGTTGAAGTATATAGTTTATTGTTGTCGACATTGTATATTTTTGCAATATTTTTTAATAGTATGAGGAACACTAGGACAACTGACCTTTGAATTTCAATTTGAAACTTTTCACAGAGACAGATCTTAACTAGAATAGTTCATTATAAAGATTTTCGGTCTTTTGATTTGCTTCTTTCCTAAATATAAAAACATCAAATCTGTCGGTGTATACGAACGATGTAAAATGTTCGCTTTTACCATGGCTGTATCTTGAAACAGGAAAATAAGAACATCTGAAGCTTTAACAATAGACTATTCTTGGTAAGTTTTGTGTCTATCGAAAGTTTCAAATCAAAATTCGAAAATGAGTATCACTAGTGTTCTTTAGGGGAACTACGGCATTAACTAAAATAAATACCGTAAAAATACAATCTATGTTAGCATGAATAAACTATGGGTTCGAACTTCATATGATTTTTTATAACCCATTAATGTTTATTTTAGCAATAACAAAACATGAAGAAGTATCAATATGACCAAAAACTCAAATTGATAAACTTTAAAAACACAAAAAATTCTTCTGTTAAATATTAACATTTTCTTTTTGTTTTCTAAATCAATGAAAATATATTTAGAAAAATAATTCATAGAAAAAGAAATAATAATATGAACACAACTATCTGACTGAAATAAATACAATCAAACAACGTTATCGATAATATTTAGAAAAAGTTAAAATGAGTTTACGTCACATAGATTCATGTAGTCGTAGTGTAATAATTAATAGAGAGCTGCAATTCTTACGTAACAAACTTCATGAAAAAGATCGAAAATTAAAACACCTTGAAATGAATATTCTCTATGGTTTTTTTCTTAAATAAATTTCTATTGTGTAGAAAGAATTAAAAAAAACAAAAAGTGTCAAAGAACATTAAGAAAAATAATTTATGAATGCATGATATTCATTGGTATATTTCAACGTATATATAATTAAAAAAGATGACATGTTTTATTTCTATGTTAGTCAATTTCAACGACATGAATTTGAAAAATGATTAAAATCACATCACAATTAATCATTTCATCCAAAACAACATCATATTTTGTTCACACATAAATGATTATGAATAAATTCGTCCAATTCATCAACGAATGCAATAAACAACTACAATTTGAACTTATAGTCTTTCTCATGAATACACTGATTTTTTATTTATTTATCTTTTTCTGTATTTTGTTGTTATTCTATTTCGATATACATAACTTCCACTAATTATTTAACTGAATATATATATATATAATAAATTATTTATGTTTTTGTCATTATTAGAAATATAATAAAATATTCAATATTATAGATGTTAAGATTTACTTTTTATAAACACGCAAACTATATACGTTGTAGTCATGTTATTTTACAACGTTTTCTATCAATACAACCATCACCAAAAACTAATCAAACATCAGCTCTACCTGTTGGTACAGGTTTAAGTACTGTACAAGCATCAAATAATCTGCCTATACTTTACGAACCAAGTTTAATATCACGTATTAAAATGAAACTTGGTTTACAAGCTGAATTACGTGAACCACAAAAAGTTTTGTATCAAGCAGCAGCTATATCATTTTATATGATTACATCATCCGTAGATTTCGATGCAATACAACGGGAACTTGATATGCCCGATGTTTTTGCATCATTTGGAAGAATTATATTTCTACATGTTTGGTTTTTACTTGTTCGTTATGTTCAATTAGGTAAGATTTGAGATATATTTTTAGATTTATTATTCACTATCAAATTCTATTCATGTGCTTACTCCCTTACCTCTTGTATTGGTAAAAATGTTTTCATGACTAATTCGTAATAACACACAGTAATGAGAAGAAAGTGTGCATGGAAATAGATACCTATAAGATATATGATAACAATGATAAAGACTGAAGTTTTCTTTTTGCTTTTGGTGCTTCGATCGATCATTACGGGCACTCAAACGATTGATCAAGATGAAGTGAATAGTTAACAACAAAAAAATTTTGTGAATTTTAAGGAATCTGTGTAAGGAGCGGTGAGTCCTTAGAAATTCGAGTTCGGATTCATAGAAAAAAGTGGATCCGCATCTTTCTACTTGCTTGATCTCGTTAACATAAATAAAATTAAAACTAGTTCAATACAACTGAAAAATTGGATATTAGTGTTGATTTGGTTAATTTTTTTTTTGTCAATTAACAGTTCAATTTCATTTTTTGTTAATATAATGTTCTTTTCAACTAAACAAAAACTTTAATTTTAAAATGGATAGGAAAGTGAACAACTAGAAAATAACTGTTCGTAGACTGTGTTCTGAGAGTAACCAAACAATAACTAAAATCTTAATCTTTTTCTTGTTCATGAATAGATAATGATGTCATCTATTGATGAAAAACAGGTTTGGTCTGGATCTGTCAGGTCCGAGTTCACAAAATCGTAGTCCCACAGCTTTGTTTTTGGGTTCGTAATTGTAATGAAATATTTTCAAAAGAATTGTATAATTGAAGAATGTAGCCAATTACATCTCTCAACAAAATATTATTTGCATCGACAACAATTTTTTAAAATAAAATTGTGGTTTTATTATTTGACAGAATCAATGCCAAACAAAGTTGATATTGTCATTAGATGAACTTATCAAAATGATCTTTCATTTATGAATGACTGAAATTCTTGACAAGAATATTTTTTGTTTTGTTCTTAGGCCCAACTGGTATATTTCTTCGTCGTCAATTAGCACGTACTATGTGGACTGATCTTGATTTACGTGCTCAACAAATTCTTCCTGGTCAAAGCAAAGTTCGTCGTAGTCAACTCGAAGAATTACGTTCAGAAATGAATGCATTCATGTTAGCATTAGATGAAGGTCTTGTGGATGATGATACAGTATTAGCTGCTGCTATATGGAGACATTTTCGTCATTTTCAACCTACTCGACTTGAAAATCTTGTTACACTTGTAACATATATAAGAAAAAATATTCAACATTTAGAACAATTACCTGATGAAAATTTTATAAAAAATGGTTATGTCTATTTTCTACCATTACATAGTGATACTGTTGATACAAAATTTGTTAATCAACATTATCTTGATTTTAAAAATAAAGCTAGGGGATTTGTGAGAACTTAATCAAGAACAAAATATATTTGTATTTTAGATAAAATAAATAATGGCGAAAATATTTGAACGTTTAACAGATGAAAATCTTGCACAAAATATGGAAAATGTTTTAGAAATAGTATGCAAAATAGGAAAAGGGTAATCAATTAAAAAAAAATAAAATTATTATTTTTCTTTGT